GGGGTTGTGTTATTCCATGTAAACCCACCCATGGTAGGCTGGAATAATGGGGAATAGGAATAATGGAAATGGGAAAATTTCAAATGGGCAAATAAATAAATAAAGAAATAGAGCCTGGCACGGGAAGCACTGATTGTTGGGAGTTGAGGGGTGAACTTTCCGGGGGTGTCTGACAGATTGGTGCAGCCACATCAATATTTAGACAACTTTCCTGCTCAGATGCATCTGTCACTGTCTGGGGGGGGAAATGCTGAGTTACGGGTGTGTTTGTCCCTGTAAAGCAAAAATATCTGTGTGTGTGATTATAAAAATAACCCCCTCAAAAAAAAAAACCCTACCTTCAACCAGTGGAAGAAGAGCAGAAAGACAGACAGACCCTTCTTGTTTTTCCTTTTTAAGAGCAGGAGGCATCAGCTTGGACAGCAGAGTGGGTACAGTGCATTAAATTTTTATCTACTGTTCCTAATGCGAACTAAACCAGGGCCTTTAAAAATTGATGCCGCCACTTAAGGAGCTCACAATGAGGGAGATTTGATTATTGTACTTAAAAGAAATAAAATAAAATGTCAAGTTCGGCTCGAGCCGGAGCCGTTCCCCTGGCGTTATTCAAAGTGATGCCTCTTCAGAGCACCCGGCGGAGGCACTCGAGGAAAACGCGGCGTTTAAAAACTCAAATGTCTTGATTAGGTTACAGAAAGCCTTTGATTTCCCGCGCTGAGCTGTGTTTTACACGGCAAGGACGTCCCCGAGTTGCGATTCTGCCCTGGATGGTCCATCGGGCAGGAGAGCTCAGCGTAATCAGAATAACGGGGTGGATTTTGTGCAGCCCTAAATCGAGCACGGGGGGGTGTTTACAGGCATCAGGTACCTCAAAAAGAGCATTTGATGCCAGAAAGGCACGGCCAAGAAGCAAGAGAAAAGCCAGATTGATTCGAATTCCAACAAGTCCGTTTGGGTGAGGAGGTGCTGGAATATTTTAAGCCCGAGCTGCACTTTGCACAGGGAGAGTGGGGAGGGCTGAAGTGTGGCCACTGCTATTTTATTAGCACAAGCCACAACCTGATTGCACAGTGCAGGTTTTTCTTCTCTAGAGCCCACCTAGTTATAGTGAAGACTTTGAACAGTATGGATTTATATATATATATATATAAAATACATACACAAGTTCTAGACGTGCCATAAAGTAACTTATAGACCTTTGATCTTTGCTACCACATCTACAGGTCCTTGTAAAGCCCATCCTCTGCATCCCTCATGTGTGATATACGTTGTGTTGGGGCATAAATATGGAAATGTTGGTCAAAAGCTCGTTTTTTTAATTAATGAGAGCTAAGCACAAGAGATAAATAATATGCATAAACTTGATTTTTTGTATATAAAGTAACAGAAAATAATGAAGTACCAAAACTGAGACTTTCCCTTGACAAAAATTCTGCCCAAATAAGCTGCTCTTAACTTAAAAGAAATAATAAAAAAAAATTAAATAAATAAAAAAATCAAGTAGCAAACTGCACCATTAAAAGAAGCAACACTCAGTCTGAAAACTTAACCCTCTCCCACCGATACAATAAATCCCAACCCGTGTTTAATAAAGGTCAGGGCTGGGGTTTGCCTCCCGTGCTGTGAAGGAACATTCTATGCACAATTTAACATGTTTTAATATAAGAGCACTGGCTGTTTGCACTGTTGTATGTATTGAAAAAAAATGTCATTACACGAGGGCAGGAAAAGTAATAAGTTACCATGGAAGCACGATGTACATACATGAGGTACATGTAACTCCAGACTTACACAAATGTTATTAAAAACATCCTCGTTTTACCCTCTAATTTATAACTTTACATGCTAAAACCGTGTGGATTTTTAATTAAAAAGTGGAAGCCCCCTGAATATTGTTCACACGCAGAGGAAGGAAGGGTTTGTGTTTTGGTTGAGGGGTTTCTCTTTTGGTGGGGGCAAAATTAAAGAGCACTGATGATGTTACTTTAATTGAGGAAAAATTAAAATAGTTCACCAAAGAAAATTGCACAAAACTGCCTTGTAGTTTCCAGGTAAAAATACGTAAGTTAAACTGCTCCTTCTCATAAGGTGAGAAGGAATTTTGTAAGAAATCAGCATCTAAAAGTCTCCATTTAAGGAGCACATGCAAAGGCCTGGTTTAAACAAAACCAGCACGGCTGTGGTTGCTAAATCTCCTGCAGGGGAAAAAAAAAAGGCATAAAAAAAGGCAAAAAACGCCCCAAATATCTGTTTTGAACCCAAATCAAGTATTACCCACGTGTGAAAAAGAAAGTCTTCCTACATAAAGAACTTCCCTGCGTCAACAGCAAAACAAATAAATACGAAAGTCAAACTCTTCCTACCTACAAGTTCATCAGAAAGGCCTTTTTTGGCATCTAAGGAAGCAAATAAAGTCATCTTACCTGCACATGACTTCATGGGTGAGCAACACTCTGCACATCTCGGGGTTCTTGTTCTGTCCTTCGTAGGTTATGGGCTACAAAAATCAGGTGAAAGGGATCAGCCAGGAGCATTAATTATAATAACATTCAGGTGTGAGGGGAAGGGGTTTTACCACTGCTCAGGCAAATAAATATCTCCCCCCAAAGCTTTTATGTGCAGGGAAAGGAGCTTTACAGAAATATTGGGGCAAGGGGGATAAAACCTGCAGTCCACAGAGGGGAAAAAAAGAGGCTGAAGAGCATTGTTTTTAATTCACCTCAAAACCAGGTGTGTGATAGAGCTGAGCAAGAGACAAAAATGAAGCAGAGGAATAAAAGCAGGCAGGGAGATGTCGAGGAGAAAGGAAGGGTGAGGTGGGACAGGGTAAGGGGGCACATCCCAGCTCTGCTCACCTGCTTGGTGACCGAGTCGATGAGCCTGACATAGAGATCCTGCTCGGTCCTGACACCTACAGCGAGGGAGAGGAGGAATAAACAGGGTTGGGACGGGCGCCTTCCCCTCACCACCAGCACAAACCCGCTTAGTTTCGGTATTAAACCTTAATATTTCATCATTTAGCTTTATTAAACACCCTCAACAAGCCCGGGGAATTTTGTTCCCCAAGCCCAGGTAAACTCCAGGGCCCATCCCAGCGCTGAAGGGGCCTCATGGAGGGGGATTTCTGGGGATTTTAGGAATCAGTGGCAGCACCTCCAGCCTTTGCAGCCCCCGGGAGGGCTGGGGGGGACTCACCGTTGCTGTAGAGGAGCTGCAGTTTGTAGTGTGTGCCGTTGTTGGTCTTCTCGTTGCCTTGCTCCTGAGGGGGGAATTAAAGAAAAACCCTTCCAGAACTTCCACTTGGCACATTTAAAATGCAAGAGAGCTGATAATCATGATGGAAGTGACAACAAAGTTCATTAAAATTCCGAGAGGTGAATCCACTGATTGGGATGTATTAACCTTCCGAGTGACCCAGGACAAGCTACAAAATACTGCTGACATCTTTTCCTGCAGGAGTTCAAGAACTTCTCTCCCTCTCTTATTTGCCATTGTGCTCTCAACTTTTTCAGGGCAATACCCTGAGAAGAATTCGTGCATTTCAAATATAAAGCAGGGGGAAAGTTCAGTGAGTTTGGTTTCTGATCTCTTATTTTGAGTCATTATTGAGATTTGTTTCCTGAAGGTTGTGTTACAGGGATGTTTCTTACTCTTTTTTTTTTTTTTTTAACAGCAATTTCCTATAAGATAGTTATTTATGATACACAATTTTTAAAAAATCTTGTCCCTGGCTAAGAAAATAATTGAAAAAAATGCAAAGTGGTCAAGACACGGATTTAAAAACAAAAAGCAAATGCTTTTCAAGTCCTGCCAGTTATCCTGGACTCTTAAGAAATATATATAATCAAACTCAACAGAGAATATGACATATTACAGGTGAGATTCCACTTCTGTTCAGGTACTAATAAAGATCTAATAGGTACGAAAAAAAAGAAGTGCATTTACCCCCTATGAATTTTATTTCCTTTTTAGTGGGTGTATGAAATTCCCACCGTGTTCCTGACATAGCAGTGGCTTCCAAGATTTTTTATCAACGGTAGCACAAAGAGGGCAACAGCTCCAGGAAAGCACCTGAACCCTGAGCAAGGGCTGGTTGTGTTTTGTCAGGGACAACAGGTATTACAAGTTATCAGCTCATTGGGGGGGGAAGATTAAATTTGGAGAGGAGAAGAGGAAGAAGAAAGGTAACAAGCCTTACTTTATCATTTTCTACAAAGTCCACAAAAGCTGTCCTCTCTATTTCCACGGGCTGCCCCTGTCTGTCGTAGAGAGCCAGAACAAAGTGAAAGAAATTGGATTTCCTCAAGTTGGAGGGTGGCTGCTTTTCAAAGTGGGCTCTGGACAAAGCTACTCCGCTGTGGAGGAAACACACGGGATGGGGTGAGGGGGGAGAGACAAAGACATTACCAGGTTGTGCAGCAGTAACAGCAAAACAACAGAAAAGGCAGGACACGCTCGTTCTGTCCCCGGTCCCCGCCGGGAGCCGGGCGGGACGGGGCTGTCACTGAAATGGGAGTTCGGCTTTCCCCGCTGTCTGTACCCGAGGACAACAACCATTTACAGCCCCTCAGTGTTAAAGAAGTTATTGCTGAATGCACCGAGTGTTCCCCTTCCTCCTCTACCTGTTTTCTCGCCCGTCACGCTCGCGGCTGGGATGCAGCGGGGTGGGAAGTGGCTGCGGGGTGTCGGGGAGCCTGGAAGTGCTCCCTGCACATCCCAGTCCCTTTTCCCGCAGGCAAAACTAAGCGACCTTAAAATCTTTCCTACGGGCGCGCTGTCAACTCGAGGACACCCACATTTTGGGCAGAGACAACTAGTTTCGAGCGGGGCAGCCACTTTCCTCGGCAGCGAAGTTTGTCTTCAGTCACTGAGTTACTTGAACCGATTCCCGGGACTTCAGTCTCTGATTTAAGCGGAAAGAATTCAGAGTCGGGTTAATCAGCCCTTGCCCAAATCTTGTCCCTGAGTGCTGAAAATGCAGGGATGTTTCCCACGCATTTCCCGGCTTGGAAAGATTCAAATGCTTGTGCTTACCCACAGTATCCCTCGCTGCAGCTTTATTTCTTCACGAAACTAATTGTAGCTCCCTCTCCCTAAAGCCGGTTTCTACTTACTGCAGAGGAAATAGGCGCACATGAGCACCTCCATGTTACTTAATAGACAGATTAAGCGTCTGACAGCCTAGTTAAGAGTCAGAACATCTTTGTTTTTCAGTCCCCAAAACAGCTCCACAGCACTGACAAAAAGTATTTTGACTCTTTCGGAGACCCGCAGATGTTTCCCCGTGTTTCCCTTGCCAAATAGGTACGGTGTGAACTCACCACATCCGCCACAACTGCACCTAGTTTGGGGCTTCCTCTCATTCTGCGTGTAAAAACTCTCGTTTCTGGGTTTATTACGAATCTCTGCAGAAAAACCTGGCGATGCCAGCGGGCAGCACAACCTCGGGCTGCACCTCCACCGCTCCCGTGAATTAGAGGCTGCTCAGGAGCCCTTTCCTTTACTTTCGGTTTCCTCGGGAATAAACCTCCTTCCCCTCAGTCGTATTTATTAAAGGGTCTATCGACATCCATAAAACTCTGATAACTCCTCCCCTGGCGCTTGGAAAACCTCGCTCCCGGATCAGGCCGTGGGTGGGGGCACGGATGTACTATTTCTAAAACGTCCCTGTTTCAGCTGAAGTCCCATCTGCTGTTTCGTGCCCTTCACCTTGTCTCCCTACTAAATAAAACCCGACTTATTCCCGGGGTTCCCAATTTAGCCTTCCCCGACGCTGCTACTTTTTTCTTTTCTTTTTTTTTTTTTTTCTTTTTAACTTTTTTTTTTAAGGCTGTTCAGAGACCGAGGAGGAAAATAAAATATCTAAAAGGGTTTCGTCCTTTTACCCCTAACGGGAAGAGACTGGAATAACTGTCCTGTGCCGACTCGGCTGGGGAGAGAAAATAAAAGACGGGCGTGGGGGGGGAGATAACTCGCCCAAACAAGTAAAGAACAAACAGTTTCGGGGTGTTCGCTGGCATTTGGGCTCAGCAGAGACCTCTCGGACACTCGGGCAGGTGCTCCGGGCAGAGGGATGCCCGCGGGGCTCCGGGGTATCTGTGCCCTCCTCTGCTCACCCAGAGCCTGCTCTGCCTGCCTGGCTTAGTCTGTCACCCGCCTCGAACCCACGGGTGAACATTTCGGCCACGAAAAACAAGATGGGCCGGAGGTTTGGGGGGGAAGATCCACATTTCAGTTGATTCTAACTCGGTCCCCTCCTATCCGGCTGCGTGCCCCGGGAAGCGGGAAGGAGCGTTCTGTATCTCCGGGTACACCCAACCCGCTCCCCCAGCATCTTCCTGGTGCGGAAAACGAAAGAAGGGTCCGATCTCGCTGTCATCTGAGCCCCTGCACGGGGTTTTAGGACTGATGCTCTCCGGTTTTGGAGCGCTTCTCCCTTGCTCTACTTACTGCTACCACCTTCAATTTGCACTGACTAGAGGAGACCGGGAGCGGGACAGAAAGGGAGAGAGTAAATTTAATATCAAATGCAAACAACAAGGAGTAAAGAAAAGGCTTGCTTAAAAAAGGGAGAAAAAAAAAAGGAAAAAAGAAATAAAACGCAAGGGGAAAGTGGGGGAGAAATAGTCACGGTTACCTTTGTGCTGCTACGTTTGCATCCACAACCCCAACGTTTCTGACCCAGGACCTGACGGAATCCATCTCAGAACCTAGAGATTTATCTTTCAGAATTGGTCCTCTTCCTAAAGTATCTTGAATCCCAAACATTTAAAAAGTCTATTCCAACTAGCAACAGTTTCCTTTCGGGAGATAAAGGAGAAGGGAAGAAAAAAAAAAATACAAAAAAAAAAAAGAAAAGCAAAAAACGACGCAGCCTTTGAGTCTGACACACACAAATCCCAGGAAAGTGAAGTTCAGCTCTGAAACCAACTTTCTTCT